CCTCCCCTCCGGGGAACCTCGGGGCGGGGTGAGGCCACCCCGGCCTTCGCGGGGCCTTCCTTTTCGTGACTGCCCGCTGGAGTGGCCGCGGCGGTAACGGAACAAAATCCAGGGCTGCTCGTGTAGTTTAAGGCTGGGAACTGTCAAGATGCGAATGTTTGGAGTCTGAAGTGGAAAACCAAATGTTTTGGGGGCTCTTGAGAGGGAAATGGGAGAGGTGAGCCCTAACGGATGGTTTGTACACATAAAAAAAAAAAAAAAAACCCAACAAAAACATTGCTTGCTGTCTGCGGGTTTTTTATTGTGTTTGAAGAAATTAAACCACGCTTGGCTCTGTCGAAGAAGGCTTTTTTCAGTTTGTACTCCTGGGTCCGTTTCTGCAGGTGGTAGCTGCTGTACTGGTGCTGGCATTTGCACTGCTGAGCAGTAATCTTTAGAGCTGGAAGCTGTAGGCTAAGCTCTAAGCTTAACGTTAAAGCTCTGTTAAACTTGGAAGTGTTTTTTATAAATCCCTGTTTCTGACCCAAAAGCATCTTGCAAACAGTAGTGAAGTTTGGTGCCCCTCTGTGTAGGAAGGCAGGTGTTGTCCTGGCTGTGCGAGGACATGGTGACATTTATATGCCTCAAAAGACGGTATGATGTTCTGTTCTGCTAAACATTTTCTGATTTCTTCATGTCTGTCACTCAACAGTGCTTTTGAAAAATAATATTTTTTTCTTTAAAGCTTTCCATCAATGCTTTTGACTATAACTGTCACTTGGATCTGATAAAGCTGCTGCGCCAGGAGGGAGAGTTGGTAAAGCTCAGAAGAGCTCGTCAGAAGATGAGTGAACTCTTTCCACTTACCGAAGGTACAGAGCATCTCCTGCTCATGTTGCAGCTGATAAGAGTTAAAAATCATCCCTGTAAAATACCATTGCGTCGGTAGTGAAATAGTGGTTTTGTGCCAGTCTTTAACAACATTGTTCTGGTCTAGAGAAAGCTGAAAGAACAGATTTGGGACTTTTAAAACTCTGAATGTGGTGCGAGGGGATGTTTGTGTGTGCCAGCTATTCCAGTTGCTGCGCTGTCTGTCTGTTAGCTGGGGGAGTAGCTGCCGGGATGCAACCTGCTGTAGCCCAGGGAAAGGTGTATGTTTGCTTGTGCTGCCTTTGCTGTAGGGCTGGTAATGTACAGCTGTGGGATGGCAGCACTGAAACGGCTCCAGCTGCTTACTCAGTTAACGTGACTCAGAGCCCAGACAAACTCCTGCCATGACTTAAATTTCACAGGCGAGCAGCAAAAAATACAACGTTGGTGAACATCGCAGGTAGCCCTTGAAGTGGGTGTTTCCTTTTTTATGCATAACACAGAGGCAATGTAAATATTGCAGAGGCTGTTCTGTCAGCGTGCTTTTGGCCTTGGCAAGGGAAGGTTTCCTTCTATGTGTGTGGAAACTTGCAGCCTCTAAAGCCATTTACTGTATCTTGTAAAAGTGTGAGGAAAGATGTACTTCTGGATGCCTCTTTGGTTACTGGTGTGTACTTATCCTCTGCCCATGGTACTGATAAATTGCTGCTTCCAACTTCTCCTCTCTTTAAATAGAAGTGTGCTTGTTTAGTACTAATTTGAAAAGCTCTCAACCGGACTTTTCTTTTAAATTAATTGTTGTGGAGGCTAAAATCGTTCTCTTCTTCCCCGTGGCCCTCTCCCCATTTTTAAATCTGTTAGTAAAAACTCTTATAAAAAAATTCAACAAGTGGATTTAACTTACTCTTTCTGAACACTGGTAATGTATTCTAAACTTCTTCCTTTCAGAAATTTGGCTGGACTGGCTGAAGGATGAGATAAAAATGGCTTCTGAAAGCTCTGAGCGAGAAAAAGTTTATGAGCTGTTTGAGAGGGCTGTGAAAGACTACATCTGTAAGTTGTTAATATATGCTATAAAATGTATTGTGTGGGATTTGGATTATGGCTTTCTTTTTCTAAGACAGTTTCTTCCTTCTGTTATAATGCAGAAATTAATAAAAATATTAGCATGAAGTGATCCTCGGTTTTTTGGAAGCGTTGGAGTTAAAGGCCATTCAAAGGCAGTGCTTTAAGTACTGTTGCAGTCTTCAAGATCTTCTAAATGAATGTTACCAAAAGCTTTAAATGGCTATTTTGCACTTCCATAATCTCGAAAAGCCGCAGGTATTGCGCTCTTTAGGGAATGTTTTCTCCATTATGGGTTCTTTAGCTCTTTCTTTGAGGAAAGTGAATGCTTTTAAAAGGCTCCTTTCTACTGCTGTTCCCTGTGTTGATTAGCACTGTCGTTACTTCTATTTCCACTGTATGACAGCTCTTTCAGAACATACTGTCTGTGAGACAGCGTTCTTGAAACCCTGCGAAGTAGGTAACCCTAGCCACGCTGCGGTACCGGGCTCTGATCGTCCTTGTTAAAAGTGAGGGAAGTACCCGGTGTCTTGCCTTTCCGTTTCTCAGGAGCTGCCTGCAGCCGTAGCTTAAAACTTCTAGCTTAAAGCACTGAGTAACTGCGTGCTCTTTGGGTCTTGTGGTGAGGTGCTGAAAACGTGAAGCCTGAAGAAGCAGAGAGGACTTGGTAGCATTGAGGTGAATCCCTTGCAGAAGCTATGTGCAAAATGTCACATTACAGCAGCGGCATAGCTAGCCTCAGAGTGGTGGGGCTCGTTTGGGAAGAAGGTATGGAGAGATGAAGAACTGAGAGGGAGTATCTGGATCTGTTGGATGGATGGCACTTGGGCTTTGGAAAGACTTCTTCTGGAGCGCAAGATGGGCAATCTAACAACCATTGGTTGGATAGTCTCTGCTGGGGTCCCCAAACCTGATTTGCTCAGATCCTGCTATTGATGGAAGAGGTGCCAGGCTGTTTTAGCAAATCTTCCCCCTTCATAGTTACGCTGCTTAAGCAGTTGCTGAACAGGCAAGTATAGGAGTCTGGAAAGAGAAGGAAAACCTACTTTCATCTGCGTTCTGTAGGAGTGCAACAGCTTTGTGGTCCCAGCTCTGCACATGCACTCAAGAAAAGTCGAGTTGCTTTGGGGGGGGGGGGGGGAAGGTGTGTGTCTTTATGCATCTCTGATGTAGCTTGTGTACCAGAGGTGGCAGACAGGAGTCAATATGTGTCAGTAACAACCACAAGAGTGTCTGCTTTCAGAAAATGATTGTAGCAGCTGGTAGTGAACCAAGAATGTAGAACAAAATATTTTAATTTTTCTTTACCATCCAATGTAGTAAAGAAATTGTCATGTTTCAGCCTGTTTGTGGGTGTTTGGGAAGCAGAGATGCCTTTTTTTAAAAAAAAAACAACAAAACTTTGAGGGGATTAAGTCATCTGTTTCTCATAACTTTGTTTAGGTCCTGAAATTTGGTTGGAATATGCCCAGTATTCAATTGGTGGCATTGGTCAGGAAGGAGGAATTGAGAAAGTTCGCTCAATATTTGAGAGAGCACTAACTGCTGTTGGACTGCATGTGACAAAAGGAACAGCTTTGTGGGAAGCGTACCGCGAGTTTGAGAACGCCATACTGGAAACGGCACAGGTAAGGCCAGTCTGCTGAACTCTTGTTCAGAAACTACACCACAGCTTGTTTCTTACTCATGTTGTGCTGACCCCTCATCAGTCTGGTCTGAGAAAAGAGGCTGTAATGTCTCACAGTTGTTTCTTTTCAGCAGTAGAAGCTGACCCTTTGGTCTGGGAAAAACATTCTGTGGATTTAGTTGATACAGTAATGGATTTGTGTTTAAATAAGATCATAAAATCTCATATCCAGATGCAAAGTTTCACTCTGCTTCTTTAGCTTGAACTGACAAGAATAGTTTTAAATCGAGTAACTTCATTATGAAACTGTATTCTTGCCAGCGAATATTTTTGCATGTAGTCAGTCATGTTTGTATTTCTAGACTGTTTTCTACTTCAGCTTATAACTCGTTCATTATTTCACCCTTCTTGTGACTTTTGGATGAGTATATTATCCCTGGAACATACTGTTTGGCATCTGCAAAAGATACCGTTACAAGATGGCCAGAATATGAAGATTTCTTTTTTTTTTTCTTTTTTTTTTATACGGAAGTTAAAAGATGCCCCTGCCTGTGGTGGGGGGTGTGGAACTAGATGATCTTTAAATACCCCTTCCAACCCAAACCATTCTATGAAATGCTCTAACAAAGGTGTAATGGGAGAGCACCCTTTCATTCACAAACAGAAAGAAAACTGGAAGTTTTAAATCATCCGTGCACACACCCAGGGATTTATTGGAAAACTATTTGGCAGCCCGATGGGTTTGTGAAATGGCGTGATCACATGCAGCTTGCTTTTTTTTTTTTTTTTTTTTCCCCAGGTTATCATTTCCCTATGCATGTGTCAGCTTTCAGTGAGGAATGCTGTTCACATTCATCCAGCTTCTGGGTCTAGCAATTTCCAAGTTTTAGCTTTCACAGCAGCGACCTGAAATGCAAGCTGGCTGTGTCTGTTCTTCAAGGATCATGTAGTCATTTGGAGCCCTGACCCCCAACCCATTAACAATACCCCATCATGTTCATCAGCTCAGGCTTGAGAGAACTGATTAAATTTCAATCCTTTTGTTTGTAGCCAGCTCCTGGCAGCGTTCCATCGCCTGAGCAGCAGCAGATGCTCTGCAGCCAGCTTGAGAAGATCCACACGCTGTTCAGGCGCCAGCTGGGGATCCCACTTTTAGGTAAGAGCTGGTGTGCTTGGAGAGATGGCATGGATAAGCTGCGTTACGGTGATCCGTGCATTAGTTGTGATTATTCTTTTGGTAGAGCCACACAAACTGCAGCTGTAGTATTTGTGAATTCTTTTAATCAACAACATTTGCCTGTCTTCAGGGCCTCTTGAGTGATGCACAGATCCCTTTTGTTCAGAAATATTCTTACGCATTGAAACTTGGTTTATCTGTTTCTTCAGTATGTAATTGGAGGCTGTTTAAAGTACAAGTGATGAGCACAAAACATGACCGTTAGGAACTAGGAATTCAGCTGTGTTGATCACTACTTCAGAACCTTGGTTGGAAGGGCAAAGTACACGCTGACAGAATAGAATTAGTTAGAATTCTGCCGTATCTGCTTCATTCTTTAAACTCCTTGACTCCCCTTTTCTTGTGGCTTTGCTTACAGGAGAAAGTTGAGCACGGTTTGACTTCTTCATTTGCGTATTGCAAGAATTTGGTTTGGTCTCTTTAAAGTCTTGGGAAAATCTTGTCACTTTGGTTTTCTAAATCAAACTCAGTAGGTTTAATATAACTTGTCCTGAGCTTGTGTTGTAGTGCACTGCGTAAGATGAAGTGTCTGAACCCTATAAGCATGTGGTAGCGTGACAGTTAAGGTACAAAAGTGCAAACAGAAATACAAATGAGTTGGAATCAGTTATGGGTTGACTGTTGATTATTTAGTCCAATAAGTTATTGATGGGGTTTTGTGTCTGTTCTAATAGATATGGAGGCTTCATACGCTGAATATGAGGAATGGTCAGAAGATCCGATACCAGAAACAATAGTAAAGAATTATAAAAAAGCTCTACAGCAACTGGAGAAGTGTAAACCATATGAAGAGGCATTGGTAATGCTGTTATTTATACCTCGCTTTAAAACTAGGAGTTAATTGCTTTGGGATGATTTTTGCCCCCCCTCTTCAATTTTATTATTTTTCTAGTCACAGAGGTAGCGCAGCTGTGTATTGGTAGGTGATTCTTTCAGCTGGGTGCAATGTGAGACTAGAAGCCTCACAACTGGGTATACTGGAAACTGTTGAATCTATTGACTCTGGGCCACCCTAAGGTGGACATGAGTACTGTGGTTGTTTCTTCCAGCATTGCTGAGCGTGCTGGGCTAAGAGGAATAAGAAGTAGGGATCGGAATGGCTTCAGAACCAGGGTGGTATTTGGAGATAAGCGAAAATCAAAAGTTGTTGATATTTAGAGGCCAAGCTCTTGTGTGAAATTTTGCATGAGACCTACTCTGAGTAATAATTGAACAGTTTGAATCATGCTTTGTTCAGAATATTTTAAATTTTTTTGTATCTCTATTTGTTTTATAGCTGGGTGCTGAAACACCAAAGCTAGCAGAATATCAAGCTTACATTGATTTTGAAATGAAAGCAGGTGATCCAGCTCGCATTCAGTTGATCTATGAGAGGGCTTTGGCTGAGAACTGCCTTGTGCCAGATCTTTGGGCACGCTACAATCAGTATTTGGTAAGGAAAAAACCTAGATGTTTGTGGGCTTATTTTCCTCGTTTCTGTTGTGTTTTTTTTTTTTTTATCTTAGTGACTGATAAATGAATGACCAGTAAGTTCTACCTCAATCTTCTCCCTTAGTCTTTAAATTCTCCAGAAACTGTTTTTCACCTCACCTTTGATTTCTTCCTGTTTTCAGTGGTGTGTGTGTTCATCAAGTGAGCATTTGCTCACTTTTTCCTCTGTTCACTGTTTTCTCTGCAGAATTAAATTGGGTGTGGGCGTCGAGGCTTGCGCTAGCTGGCACAGAGTTGACTGTTGTCACCAGCTGTACTGTAAGCCCTGGTGTTGTCCTTGGTAGCTGGGCATCCAAAGGCATTGCTTCTGAGAATGTCCCTCCTCTTCTAGCTTTTGTAGGCAAAGCAGTTTGGTGCTGTCTGAATCACTGGGGAGCCTGCCTGTCCTTCAGGAGACACAGATATATTCATGACAGTGCTTGTTTGAGGGCTGCTGGTGCTCCTGAATATTTTACAGCGGAGAACAAAGAACTAATTTACCAACAAGCCAAAGCAAACCCAGATGTTTAGTCTGTATTTACATGTGGGCTAGTTAATGCACTTTGAAGACCACATTGAACTTGAGGGGCAGGGTTTTCATGTGGACAAAAGGTCAGTCTACTAAGAGATCAGTGTAACTCCCTACAGGAGGCTTATCTGGGCTGAGTTGCTCCGTCATGTCCTTATCTTACCAGCTTGAGACAGCAGGTTGCGGGTGGAACAGCGCCTGCCTCCCTCGAGTAGGCTGTGTGCGCACCCTCTTTCTTGTATTCTTTCTTCCCTTTTTCTAAACATACTGAGAACAGTTGGGAATCTACTCAGTGCCTTTATTATATTTATCTCACTGTCAGAAAATACCGAACTGTCTTGGTTAGAAGCAGACAGGTACTTCAGACTGAATATGGCGTGGAGTTCTTGTTTGCCTTGCTCCTGAGCATATCCTTTCTGTTTCGAAGATGTTCACTGGGTTTTTAGGACTATGGAATTTAAAATACCCACCTTTTCTAAGCTTTCCAAATATAAAATGGAAGTACTGGTTTAAGGTGTTGGCTCTTTATAAGCTGGTATGTCTTAGATGGGCTCTCTGGCTAATAGGAGCTGAAAACTTTGTTGTATGATTTTTTCAGGACCGGCAGCTGAAAGTGAAAGAGTTGGTCTTGTCTGCTCACGACCGCGCTGTTAGGAACTGTCCCTGGACGGTTGGGCTGTGGATTCGATACCTTTTGGCGATGGAGAGGCATAGAGTTGACCACGGCGTTATTTCTGGTAAAGAAAGGCCATCTCAGCAAGACTCCCTTACGCTAGGAACTGTGCTCTGCAGTCTGAATCATGTCTGACAAAGGGTGACCTGTAGGACGCTGTAGGATTTGTTTTCATCCTGCTGCAATGGTCTTAAAGTGGAGGAAATGTACAGCAGCGTGCTTCTAGAGCAAAGCTGCTTTTGTTGAGCAGCTTCAATTCTGAGGGAGCAATTTCCTTCAACTTCACATGAACATTACTGAATTAAACTGTTTTTTACATTCGATTCCTAAACCAATTTAGCATTTCTTATATTTTCCTGTCTTCCTAGAAATGTAAGGCCTATATGCTACTTTGTGCTATACGCTGTTGCTTGCTCATTTTGTCAATATTTGAAAAGTAAACATGTTTGTGTGGGTGTGTTTTTCCCATTTCTTTCAGAAATGTTTGAAAAAGCTCTGAATGCAGGTTTTATTCAGGCAACGGACTACGTAGAAATCTGGCAGGCGTATCTTGATTACCTGAGAAGGAGGGTGGATTTTACACAAGGTATATGTGATACATGTACGAAAAAATACTTAAACTGGTTTTTTTATGTACCTCTCTGAAACAGTGGTATTACTTCCATAAAAAATTTAATAGTGGTTTCACGTCTTTCACAAAAATTGCTTTCTGGCCAGTTAGTGTCTATAAAATACATCAACTTAGTTCGTTTAAAGCAGCTCCTTGCTGACAGAATAGATTGTGCTGTTGTAAAAATGCCCTGCCTTACATTTTAGTTACTTGATGTGTTTTTTTCATTATGCATGTAGTGAGTTTGACTGAAATAATAAACTTTGGCTCCCCCCGCCCGCAGTAAAATCATTGTGGGTGTGAGGGAAGAGGTTTTAGTGATGGGAGATGAAAATGAAGTTGTTACTTTAAGGCAATTCTTTCTTTTTTCTAAAGACTCGAGTAAAGAACTAGAAGAGCTGCGGTCTGCCTTTGCACGTGCTGTGGAGTACTTGAAACAAGAAGTAGAAGAGCGTAAGTTAAATCATCCAACATATTGTTTTCTCTTGTTCCAAATAATTTTTATAGGACTAGTTCTCCACACAGTATTTAACTTGTTTTCAAGTGTCTGGAATGTTTTAAGAAAGCTACAGATAAACATTTCATCTACAATGTAGGACTTGTTTATAAACACTTTATTTCCAAAGAGCCATTCACAAACAGTACTTATTTTTATTCCCAGGATTCAGTGAAAGCGGGGATCCATCCTGCACCATCATGCAGAACTGGGCAAGAGTTGAGGTGATGTCTCTTATCTGCTGTATTTAAGTTACCAGACTGGAGGAAATAGCTCATTTTAACATTCCGACTGCAAAATGCAATGCTCTTGTACTTTGGTGTTTTGTCTGGGTAATGTCAGTGAGTAAATCTTCCTTCTCCCGCTCCTGTGGACTGGTCAAGCACACAGTGTAGCTTCAGGCTTGAAGCAGGACATCCCAGGAAAGAAACACTGTTCTCTTTGAGAAAGTTGTCAGGACTGTTGGCCTGTTTATACCGCTGTGACCGTGGTATGGTACAGAGGTCCGTGACTAACTTGGTTGGCAGGCTAGCCGCAGTGGCTTGGAACTGAACACCAAGTCTGTAAACTGCCTTGAATCCCACTTAATTCAGCGCTGCTACGCTAACTAGTTTCAAACTAGTGCAGGTATCAGTGTGCTGGTGCAGTCATTGCCTGTGAGCGGATATTTATTTTCCTTCCTTTGCCACAGGCTCATACAAGTCAGGATAAGTCATGTTAATTTTGTGCTATAATTTCTCTGGGCGTAAGGCATGGGGTGGCTGCTCAAAGTCTTGGGTATTGTAACCCTCCTGAAAAAAAATTAAATGTAAGTGGGAGCCAGAAACCAAGATTGGTGCAACAGGTGGGCAGGGAAGAATTATTCAGTGGTATAATTGCATTCGGTGTTCACTTTGAGCCCTCTAAGGAGCAGATGTATCTTCCTGGGTCTGTGTGCGTCATCTGTGGGGCTTTCTTGCTTTGGGGGCTGGAGGGGAGGCTGGGGATAATGGTGTTGAACAAAGAATCCTAAATGATACTGAGTGCTCTGAATGCTGTGTTTCAGGCCCGCTTATGCAACAACATGCAGAAAGCCAGAGAACTCTGGGACAACATCATGACTAAAGGGAACGCCAAATACGCGAACATGTGGCTGGAGTATTATAACCTGGAGAGGTAAGAGCCTGGCTGGTTGGAAGAGTTTCTAGTTTTCTCATTTGTGGGAGACAAGACTTAGATGCTTAGCATGGGTATGCTTTATATAGGTTTATGATACGCTTTTGAGGTTCTTACAGCACCTGTGGAGTATATTTCAGAAGTATTACAGCAACCATGTGTAGTGCAAGTTTGCTGGGGAAGAGAGGAAAATGTTTGCGTAGAATCTAGTTAAGTGCCCTGTCGTCTTGCGGAGGATTGGTTCCTTACCGCCACGGTTTCCATCCTGCAGAGCTCACGGTGATACCCAGCACTGCAGGAAGGCTTTGCATCGAGCTGTGCAATGCACGAGTGACTACCCAGAGCACGTCTGCGAGGTGCTGCTCACGCTGGAGAGAATAGAAGGTAACTAACTGCACCTCGTCTCATTTTACCCAGTCTAGTTAGCGTACAATGATACAGAGTGAATTTTGATCTAGTGTTTTGTATTCTGGTGAAGGCTTATTTTCTTTTTACTACTTTAGGACACATAAGAGGCTCTTCTTTTTTCTTCTTTTCTGGCCTGACTTGGAGCCTGCTGAAATTACTGTGTTTTTCCATGCCTTTTTGGAGTGTCGTATTATAAATGAGAGGTTTCTGCCCTGCTTGGTTTTTGTTTTCTTCTTCTTTAAAGGCTACTCACTATATTTAGAATTTTCATGTGTAGTGGTTAATATTAAGAGCAAGTTCCATGAACTCGTTGACTCTTATTTTTCCACAATTGTTATTTTCAAATTACGGGAGAGCTAAATACAAGGTTTCTCTTTTATCCTTTAGGAACATTGGAAGACTGGGATGCAGCTGTTCAAAAAACAGAGAACAGATTGGCTCGAGTTAATGAGCAAAGAGCAAAGGTCAGAACTCTCCGTGAACTACCTCAGCAGTTTGTAGGAAATACCTATATTGAGGTCATGCTTGTCTGAATGTCAGATTTCTAATGTTGGTTCCCATAGACAAGCCTGAATTGTCTTAAACCCTCAGAACTATTGATTTTAGTTTAAAACTAATGTCTTTTGATGCTTTTTATCTTTTACCTTTTAACCTTTGGATGGATACAAGAGTAACATTCACTCCAGGAAAGCTGTAAGAGCAAACAATGGAGATGTGCTTTAAATGATGACTCCATTAGCCCTGTGTTTCGGGGAGCTTAGGAGAAAGCCCTCCAGGCTCAGCACTCTAGAAAATAGCATGTAAGAATGCTCTGCAATCTGCAGTCGCTAGAAAAAAAAAATAATCTTCTGTATTTGTAGGCTGCTGAGAAAGAAGCTGCTCTGGCAAAGCAAGAGGAGGAGAAAGCTGAACAACGAAAGCAGGCTCGGGCAGAAAAGAAAGCTTCCAAAAAGGCTAAAAAAACCAGGATTGGAGACAAGCGCAAAGCAGACGATGATGATGAGGGTGAATGGGGACAAGAAGAAGAAGGTAAAGGAGAATAAAACAAACCCCAACCCCCTCCCCCCCCCTCCAAAAAAAAAACCCAAAAAACCAACCCAAAACACAACAAACCTGAAAGTTCAGACCTCTGGCGACAGGGTTATCAGTTGCCTCCCTTCAGTTAGAGGCAGATGAGGAATTGCCATCGCTGGTGTCTTCAGAGCTGCTGTCTCCTCAGGGTCTCTTTCTCCTAGGAGATCTTTGCAGTAGCGAAACACAAGCAAGACTAAATGGGTTTTGATCACCAGAAGTATATGTTTATAAGAGCTTCTATAGGGTTTTTTTAGGTTTTTATTAATGCAGAGAAATAACGATTTTATTTTTCTTCTGTGTTTAAAAATAAAAGTCACTTTCTTGACTCATCAGATGGCACTGAGGCATATGTCTAAATCGGGTTATTCAGTATTGTAGCAATCTCTTGGAAGGTGGTGGCAGAAGATTTTAATAGATTGCTGCCCTGGGAGTTCTGAGAGCTTTTACATTTCTGTGTTTGTTTCTTAAATAAATTAAAAAAAAAAAAATAATCCCATTAGACAAAGAGAAAGAACATGAATTGGTAGTTGTAACTGACAGAAAAGGGGGAAAAATATCCCTGTCGCTTTCATCTAAATGTCTTGGTCAAATAATCTGTTACTCATTCCTAAAAACCTGAGGGAGATTTTTATTTTGTGTCTCTAAGACCTGTCATTGTGTTTGTGGTTTCACATGCTGTTTCCAAACTCCCTAGCGGTAATGGAGGGCAGCTTAATTTCAATGGTGAAGGAAATGGTGTCATTTTTTCTAGTAAGGCTTTCAATTTCATTAATCAACAGAGCAGCCCAGCAAGAGACACAAGGGAGATGGCGATGGTGTACTTCTTGAAGAAGACATGGAGGTAGAAACTGGGCTGTTTGGAAGAAGTGGACCTGAAAAGCCAGATCGCCCAGCAAACCAAAAGGAAAAGGCATCTACCAGTCGAAAAGACGTCCCCAAAGTTTTACATGACAGCAGTAAAGATAGCGTCACAGTCTTTGTCAGCAACCTTTCCTACAACATGGCAGAGCCCGAAGTGAAACTGAAAGAGCTCTTTGAGAGCTGTGGGGAAGTAGCAGAAATCCGTCCAGTATTCAGCAACAAGGGGACTTTCCGGGGCTACTGCTATGTAGAATTCAAGGAAGAAAAATCTGCTCTCCAAGCTCTTGGCTTGGATCGTAAAGTTGTGGAGGGAAGGCCAATGTTTGTTTCTCCATGTGTTGACAAGAACAAGAATCCAGACTTTAAGGTAAACTTTTATTCTTTTGAGTGATAGGTTGAACAGTGGGACTACATAGGAAAGCTAGCAGGATATCTTGCTTCCAGAGGGCTTGCATCTAACGAGTTAACGATGTGCTAGTTTGGAATGGTAACGATATGTCTTAGCAGTAAAACTCTTTCCTGGGAGTTCTGGCATCTTGCGTTTCTTTGCCATAAACCAGGATTGACAGCAGATTTCTGCAAATCTCGAGTAAGCCAATCTGAGCAGGTTGTTAATGGTGTGAGGTGTCTTGTTTGGTTGAGTTGTACAGCTGTGGGCATTTGTTACACAACCCACTGGTTCTTTTAATGGTCTGTACTAGATACCAGTTGTATGGCTTTCTGCATTATGGAGTTATTGTACAGAAAAACTTTATGGTTCAGATAGTGACAACGGAGCAGGAGGACGTTATCAGTGGCCCTTCTCACCGTGAAGGAGATGTCGGTGTTCGGAAGTGTCTCCGTTCTTAGAATTACTTGCAAGTCCTTAGTGTGTGTCTGTGTGTTTTATATGCAAATATCTTTCAAGCCACTACTCATGACTTGCAGGTATTTCTGTATTGCACAAATCTGAAGTACTCTGATAAGCTTTTGGAGGCATAATAGGTGGAAATCCTTGGAGTCTCTGACTGGTTTGGTATCTAACAGCCTTTTCATTTTTTCAGGTGTTCAGGTATAGTACTACATTGGAGAAACATAAATTGTTTATATCTGGTTTGCCATTTTCCTGCACTAAGGAAGAGCTGGAAGATGTGTGTAAAGCACATGGGAACGTGAAAGACATTCGGCTCGTCACCAACCGAGCTGGAAAACCCAAGGTAGGCATCCTTAATGCACTTCTAATTTTAAGAAATCCTTCAAAAGGAAGCTCTTCATGAGGCTTGGGTACAAAAAGTAAGCTTTGTATTTAAAAATTGCCAACCTGGCTTTGCATTAAAACTTGTAGAAATACTTGGATCTATACAGCCCAGTGTGCTTTTCTGCCAACAAATAAGAAGTAGGGGGAGAAGAGGAATTTTTCCAAAATACTTCTTAAATTCCACAAGACGAATGTGTGATATAAATGGGATGGAGGGGAAGATGTTTACAGCACTTTTAATATGGTAAAATAGGCATTAGTAAGCCTGCAAAGAACATTTGTTTTTAAAGTAACTGACTAGATGGGGTTCACCTGGCATAACTGCTTCCCCCCCCTCCCTTTCTATACTTCCTTGAGGCTATTGTTCATAACACCTGCTGCAGGAATGGATTTGCCAGGGAGAAATGGGCCACCTCTCTCTGACGAGGCTCATTATTTCCATCCTGGAATAAAGGACTCCTTGTTAAATAAGGGACCCTAAATGAGCTGCTGCTCTGCCAAAATTCTACCTGACCCCTCGGCCATGTCTTCATGTTGGGCACTTCCAGCAGTTGCCATCCTGGTGCTGATCCGCATGTATTTTTAAAATGTATTTTCTAGCTCTTGGCAGTCTCTCAAGTGCAGCTCCTGTTGCATGCATACCTCGTAACGAGTGCTCTCCATGTGTACCCCAAGTCTTGCAAGCCATGTCCTCAGCTTAGTTTGAGCTGGCATTCTGTCTAAACCACAAATAAACATACTATGAATGTTTAGACAAAATCTGATATCTTCCCTGTGAAACTGGATAATCCAAAAATACAGCTTCAGGGTTTGAATGGCTTTTAGAGGAATAAGAATGATGGAACTGGGAGGTGATGCCTCCCAACTGGTGTGCTTGCTGCAGGAGCCTGCCGTAGCAGATGCTGGGGGGTGCCCCTTTTGTCCCCTTACTGGAAACGAGACCCCGTGACTGCCGGTGCACCAGCAGCAGCTGGTTGCCACGCGGGTAGCGGCTGTTACTTCATGAAGTCAGCGCGGATTCAATTCCTGCAAAGGATGCTTTTGTCGCCAGTCCCTGTTCCCAGGGCAGCAATGCAGTCGCTGTAGAGATGGTGCCTGTCAGTTCTGTCAGAGCTGCTTAAGATGGGGTTTACTGCTCTTCAAACCAAGGTGGCTGTGAGGGCCCTCTGTTAGAGGACTCAGTTCCTTGGGTATGAGTTGTAGCTTAGTGAAGAATCACAGGAGAGTTTGTGTGGATCTTTCTGTTCTAGCTCCACAGGTGGATTTATCTTTTCTACTATGAAACCAAATCTGTCCAATACCGGATTCAGCCTGGATATATGTATAATATAAATTTAGAACTGAAGACTGATCACTGATACAGTACTTCATGATATTTACTTTACTGGGATCTTGGTTTACTTTTTTTTTTTTTTAAATACCCCTTCCACAAATTAGGGCATTGTGAATGAGAGTCAAGAAATGCAGGTTGTAGATTTATGTAGATAAGAATTTTTTTTTTTAGCTAAAGAATACTGAGGCTCTTAGCCATGTTTAGGTCCGCTTTCTGTACGCTTTTGTTACGAGTTGGCCAAATGATTAGCAAAAGTTGCCACGCAGAGAAAGAAGCACTAAAACTGATGTGGGTTACCTCTTTTCCTTCCTTAGGGCCTGGCCTATGTGGAATATGAAAACGAAGCTCAGGCCTCGCAGGCTGTGCTGAAAATGGATGGCCTGACGGTTAAGGAACACGTCATCAAGGTGGCGATCAGTAACCCACCTCTCCGAAAGCTGCCGGACAAGCCTGAGGCAGGCAGAGCCTCGCAATTTGCAGTACCACGACAGGTTTATGGAGCGTAAGTACCAGTGAGGCAGACTGCTTGGCAACGCTTAAAAAGAAAATACTGGGTTTCTTCATATGCTACAGTGTAGGAGTCTTATCTAGGATATGAGAGAAGGTTTAAAAGGTGCTGGACCGTAAAAATTTGGGTTGCTGGGTTGATGAGGAAGAGCAGACTTTTCTTTACTGATAGAAACAGTAGGGACCGAGAGGATCGGGTGTTCGACGTCCCGTTGGATCTGATGTTAGCACCCGCGCACTAACTTCCATATCCGCTCGTTCTGGGGAACTAGCTGCTGATCACAGTGAGCATTAAGGTTGCTCTTTCATCTTTCGGAGTGCTCCTGCTGCTTTGCATTGCTTTGGCATTGTATTGTACATGCCCTTGTAGCTAAACCCGGAGCTTCCATTTCTGGGGACTGTTGGGCAGTTGTTCTCTGCCAGGACTTAGGTATACAGTTTCAAAGGGCACCCATTGAAAGCTTTGCACTACTTACTACTGAAACAAATGACAGGAATAATATTTAAATGAGCATTCCTCATAGCGAACAAAGTCCTTTCTGTTTCCCCAAGCTAAACCAGAATGTTCAAAGAGCGCTGGGATAGTTTTAAATGTCACTTTCTGTTCTCCAGGCGAGGGAAGGGAAGAACGCAGCTTTCCATGATGCCTCGTGCGTTACAGCGCCAGAGTAATAATCCTGTGGCTAAGGCTGAGAACGGGATGGTCCAGAACTCACCAGCACCTTCATCCGAACCCCCGGAGGAGCCTAAAAAGATGTCCAATGCTGATTTTGCCAAGATGCTACTGAAAAAGTGAGCAAAAAGTCTGCAATCAGCAGGTCTGGTAAAATGTGAAATGCCTTTATGGAAGCCATGTTGTGTCCTTATGCTAGCAGGGAGAGAACGCCAGTCACAATCACGTGTAAATACTGTTCTGGACTATTGCATTCATCGAGATCAGTGTAGGATGGTACAAATCCAGTTTCTTCCTCTGTTTCGAAGAGCAGAGAGTTATACTATGTTCTGGTAAAATGGCGTTATATGATTCCTCATATTGAGGGTAACGAGCGGGGAAATATTTCCTGTACAGGTTGGATGCCACATCGAGTTTTATGAATACTTTACAAATCTTTCTCTTTCATTAACGAATGAGATGCAATGTGAAAGCCTAGTGATGACCTTGTCAAGCTCCACTGGTCAGTTCAGATTGTGATTGCAGTCATTCTCTCTGACGACGAACCCATTTTACACCCAAACACTCACACACACAGGGACATTCATCCCCTTCCATTAAGAGTTAAACGGCAGATGCTAGTAACTTCACCACAATGGCCTATTTTAGTATTGGGAGAGTTTCTATACATATGTGTGTATATGTAGATACATATATATGTATTCAGTTAATGTTCTGTTCAAGTTGACCTGTTTTTTATATTGTGTATTTGTAAAAGACATTTGAATTATTATTTTTAAGTGTCACGAGATAATACTTAGATGTGGTCATTTTTGTTTCCCATAAAAGCTGTACATGCTGTTGCTGAGGACCATTTTTTTTTTTGGTTGTTTTTGCTAGCTAGCTCATATGTCTTTTGCAGGTGGTTTCTGTATGGTTTTGTACAAATGTGAGGTGCAAGCTGACGTTTCTTGGTTTATTAAACTCAAGTTCTCAAAGGTTTTCTATAAATCCCGTTGCTTTTTGTTTAAACGTGGGTGTTGGAATTGCACTTATCCTATGGCAGCTGGGTAATACTGATGTACCTCGCCTCTCGGGTGCACTGAGATATAGTGTCACTTAACTACCTTTAAGTAGCTCATTCCGTCTAGTATGAGTATCCTGAAACCACTTCAGTAATCACCTCGGACTTTAAAATAATCTGGTACGTGATCTTGGATAGAAATATTAACTCTTGTCAACTGAAACTGCTGCTAATGCTGGAAGTCGACACAGGCAGGGTCTGAATGTGAGGGGGGACCCCAGTACCAAGTTCACTTGTACAACGCAAGCACTGCTGCAAATAAACACAACTTTCAGTGCTTACGTTCTGTGCTGATTTGACTTGGCTTTACTTTGAAAGGAGGAGATGCTTCAGTAGCTTTGAACCCCCTAACAACGGTGGTTGTGGTGATGCAGCAAGGGCCAGAGTTCTGTCGGTGCTTGGTCGCAGCGTGGCGCGCAGCCTCCGGCGCTGTACCGACGATATGATGGGATTGTGCCTCAAAATCAGCTTAGACATGTTCTAATAACGCTTCGGCTATGAAGCTGCGATTTGAGGGGTGGGAATGCCAAAAAACCTTTCCCCGGCTGGCAGGCAGGTAGGCGTGCAAGTGCTAGCCATGATTTAAGTTTCCTTTGGCTGCTGGGGTTGGACTTGCTGCTCTGTAGCCCCCTGTAACACCCCGTGCTGCGGTACGGCTGTACGCAGTTGTGGAAGCCAGGCCCTGTACCATGTAACTTGCTGCTCCACGCGCTGAGCTGTGCCCGCTGCTTAGTTCTCTGCAGCAGAAAAGCATTTTGAGAACAGCCTATTCCAAACAAAGACTTTTAATATTAAAATAGTTTATTAATTTGTTACTAAAATAACATTTTCCCCCCCAGCTCTAAAGTGCAGATTTTCTTTATACTTGCCTTGCACTAGAAAAAATAAGCATGCTTCGTAAGGATAGAACAACCTTTCCTTACTTACTGTTTTCTTTTTCTGTCAGCAGGAGTCAGTACATAAGCATGGAGTGGTGCTGTAGTATATAGATACCTGCCCCTCTTTTCCTATCTGCTTGCGTAAAACACGTCCTAACTACCTTGCAGGTAAGGGAGAGTTAGAAGGGAAGAAAATTTAACACTGGCCTGGGACAGACTAACAGCTTATGCTGTTTTGCAAAGGGTTTGAGCTTAGCAGCGCTCTAGACTGCGCTGAATCAAAGCTTTCCAAGCTTAGAGGTGTTGGGGTCAGTTGTGCTGTTGCACAGCTGGCAGGCAGGGGTGTAGGCAGCTATTCCTTTTACCTCAAAAGCAAAGATAAGGGAATGCTGCTTTTAATTGCACAGCAGCTTCTGGGTTCCATGCCAACTGCCACTGCAGCACAGAGGCCTCGCATGATTCTCAATGCATTTACCACAGCAATAACATGACCTGGTAATAATTGTGAAAAGTTCACTTGTGCAGATTGAAGAAACTTCAGTTTTGGGGCAGATGTGCTATACACATTCTTACCAAATTGGCACAACTGATAAAGGCTGCCCCATGGTTATGTACAATAATTTTTCTACCCGCAGCTCTGCGAGCCCTTTTCAAACCCTGAACTGAAACGCACGAGGATGCTCGTGGTTTCCCAGGGATCCTACTTGTTGAGGCAGGGCCTCAGCACTGAGTATTCTTCCTCTCTGAAGTGTAGCAAAAGCACCTCGCAGTTGGGTGAAATAAATCAGAGAGCATTCCTTCTCTTGTTCCAGTCACATCGTCTGTAATCTTAAACCAAATACTTCCCCCTTGTTGTACAAAAGTCACCCTGGGAAGGGCGACCGAAAGCAAACATGCAAAGTGCTACTGAAAACAGCAATGGGAGGGGAGAGATGCCTCTGCTGAGCTGGAGTTTAGATCCCTCCTGATCAGTACTGTCAGACTTGTATGACTGACAGGGCAGAGTCTGATTAACACAGCAGGGAGAGCACTGTTGCTACAGGGGTTGTGTTCTGGGGTTGGTTTGGGGGTTTTTTGAGCCATGGGGAAGAGGTAGCACAAAAGCAACAACAACTCAGTTAAGACTTTGTCTTGCCTAGCAGCTCTGTGACAGGGTAAGACAATGCAGCTGCCTGACAGGTGAAGGGCTGTGATTGAAGCAGCTTCTCAACGCTTAAAATTAAGGAGAAATTAAATTCTTGAGCCCCTCTGACACCTCTCCCCACCTCCTTCCAGTAGCACAAGCAAGTTATAGTGCACAGTCAACAGCAGCAGTTCACACTTCAGCTTGGCATAATGTATATAAATAAGTTATATTAATTTAATCAAATGTAAGACACTTTAAATAAATGAAATGCTAAAGAGTGACACCTCCTGTTGAGTTATTTCCCAGCAGGAAAAAAAAAGGAATACTGAGTGGCTTGCCGGTCTGTTCTCCCACGTGTTTATTGGCTCCTGAATGTCCACAACCCTCAAGTCTTGACAGGGATAGTTTGTTTGCACCCAGCAGCGCTGCCGTCTGCTTCAGGTAAGCCCACGGAGTATTCTGTGGTGGCAATGAGCAGCATGTCCAGAGTTGTCTCGGTACACTTGGCGATAAAGCGTATGAAAGGCCTCACGTCGCCCTCGTTGGCTACTTCTAAGACGTGGTAATACTCGGCCCGTTGCTCCTTGCGGATCGTGATGGGCGGGTAGCCTGCCTGCATTAGTATGAGGTTCATTAACAGGCGCGAGGTCCTTCCGTTGCCATCTACAAATGGGTGGATGTAAACCAACTTGTAGTGGGCTAAGGCAGCAAATTCCACAGGGTGCAAGCTCATGGCATCCTCCGAGTTAATCCACTGCACAAACTCCTGCATCTGTTTCTGGACGTCCTGGGGATACGGTGGTATGTGATGTCCTACAAACACCTGAGTAGTCCTGAACCGCCCTGCCTCCACCGGGTCGGCGTAGCCCAGCACTCGCCGGTGTATCTCCAAGATGTCACTGATGGTTACGGAGCCAATCCGCGATACCAGCGTGGTATTGACGTATTTCAAGGCCGCGTGCATGCCAATCACCTCATTCTGTTCCACTAAGCTTTTTCCAGGGACAGCGTATCTGGTCTCAATGATGTGTCGTATTTCTGACAGCGTCAGAGTGTTTCCTTCAATAGCAACCGTGTGGTAGATGTGGTGATAATAGGACTCCTCCATCACGCGGCGCAGGGCAGAATTGCCTTTGGGGATCGCCATCACTTTTTTAACCTTGCTGTCAATAATGCTGAAATACCTCTGATCTATCTCTTCAACTAAAGGCAGCGTCCGGTCCCGATTGATCAAAGCCTTCTCATTGCAGGGGGAAATGGTTAGTGCTTTGGAGTACAAGTAGTCGGCCTGAAGAATGTCTTTTTCCTCTTCAGAAAAGATACCAAATTCATTCAGGGCATCCACGTAATCGGGGTCCATTTTGAGGGCGTACACAAAGAGTTTGTGGGCTTTCTCCCGCTTCCCTTGGCGCTTCATTTCGAGGGCTTGATTCAGAGCCGCTTTGGCTTCTAGCTTCACTTCTGAAATGCAACAGCAACAGGTAACAGGGTAGTGGGTTTTACTGAAAACCTCTGGGGACAGTCACTGTCCACTGATAGAACAACTAAATAAAGCCACTCTGTAAGAACCTAACGGAGAACTCATATTCCAGCCTTTGCCGGGCCGTGAGCGCAGAGGCTTATGCCACATTTGCAGGCCAAGTCCCCGGCAGCAGAGCTGCTCCTGGCAGGAAGCGTGGCGAGGCGGGATCTGTGAGCAGCATGGCTCAAACTGGCTACAGGCCTGTAGCCATCCTGGCAAAACTTGCTTTGGCCACCAGGCTGCTTTGCGTGGGAGGACACAGAGTCTTAAATACATTCTCCTGGCAATAATGCCAGCTCTCTTGCTAGAAGCACAGCCTGCTAACAGCCTTTCTATCCGTTTTTTCACTGAACTATCAAACATCTTCTCAGCAACAATACCTTTAATGCAAGCAAAGCTAGAGTGTTGGAATTGTAATGATTCCTTTGAATGTTTTCCAGATTACTATTCTGGCCAATAAAGGCAACGACCGCAGCCTGTCATTGCCAGAAAGGCTCTTCTATGACACCCTGGATTTCAGGATTAATGCCGCGTATCCCGGGTTACTGTGTATTAAAACACTACTCTGTATTGGGTTTACCTCGACAGAACCTACTTATACCAAAAGTATGAGGAAAAACTGCCGAGAGACAAAGCGGCGCTGAGAGAACGCCAGCGCATCGCCCTTCTGCGGCGCAGGGCGATGGAATGCAGTCGGGCTGCTGCGGGCAGCCGGGCTGGCCATGGCATGTCCGACCTCCAGGTCGTTTACAGCTGACGTTAATTTGCAGTTGGGCAGTGAGAGTTTGTCACCATTACGGGGTTCAGGAGATCAACAGGTAGGGGGGTGCAGGTCTGCAGCTGCGGGTTGTTGTTATAAAGCGATGTAGCTGTTGCCCTGCACCCGCCGAGGGGACACCCTTACCTGGGGAGGCTTTGCCTTTCAGCACCAGCAGCTCCAGCCCCTTGGAGGTCACGCTCAGTCCGGTTGTTTGTCCGGTGTATCTGGTGACCCCCGAGGAACCCGTGCCCAGTTTACTTTTCAGGAAGGAGAGTCCTTTGAGCACTGCGTGGCACTGGTCTTCCACAGCAGCCAGCGGGAGCAGCAGCATCACCAGCGAGCCCAGGAGGAGGACGAGCACGGCCGCCCACCTGACGCGGACCCACAGGGTTATCCATTTCAGCTCGGCATCTGTCGCCATAGACACGAGGTTCATCCTGCTTCCAGCGCAGAGGCGAGGGACATCTCCTTTCCCGCTGCTCCCACCTGGGAACAGAGACGGCTTTAGCCCGAGCTCCACACCACGGGGCAGGCGCTGGAGGTGCCCAAGCGGACTCAAGGTACGCTCTGGGTTTCAGGCAGGGCTGTGAGGGGTTATCCCAAGCACCCACCTTTCCCTGCCCCCTCTAAGCACATCAGGGCAGGGGGCGCGGGGCGCCCCACACCCGTCCTCATGGCACCCACCAGGCGCTCAGGCGACAGCAGCGGTG